TGCAGCAAGACTTCACCTTTTATAAACTGCTTAGCTAAAACAGTTGACTGTGACTAGAGCAAAGCTTAGACTCTAATTAAAAGTACCAGTGAAAGTAGCAGGAGTATGAAGGGGTCTCTGGTCAAGTACCTAAATCCCAGGTGCGTGGTCTGATTTCTGTAAAATCTGTACTCCGCAGCCACAGCTTCCCCAATGTTTTTAAGTCACAAAGTTGATCTTTTGAACTTTCTTCGGCTTTTTCTCCGAATCCCACAGATGGAAGTTATGAGCAGACCTGATTTCTGGCTTTTCATAAACTGCTTGTTAATTTTTGAAGTCTCAGGTCAGTCACACTAGCTGATATTAGGAGATCTCCAGGTCTCTGATTGTCGTCTCCCAAACAAGAATAAGTAAGGTGGCTGGGTCATTAAAATGGTTCTTAAGAAGAGAGATACCCTCACCAAAATAGCTAAGGGGAGGCTGCTGCTGAAATTGCAAGGCATGCCTCATGAGCCAGCATGGGAGCAAGCTTAACCTGCAGCTATCAAAGATGGCAGAAGTCAGGTAGAAAGGGGATCCAGTTCCTGCAATCTAGTGTCTTGCTTACCTCATCTAGTCTTAGTTATGCGCTGGGCACAGCAAGAACGTCATGTTTCCTCTCAGCTTGTTTCTTTGAGCATATTCCAGCCTTGTTTTAGTTGCTTTGCCAGGCTCTGGTGTGTCAGAAGCACATGCCTTAACAGCTGCGCAGATACGGCTACGTGACAAATTCGAAGGTGAAGTTTGTTATGGTGGTGGATTCTTCAAACACAGCACTTCGAGACAATGAGATCCGCAGTGTAAGTGCAGGAAGTCAGAGCAGAACTTGCCACATCAGTGTTTTTGCTACTTCCGCTTATTCATAAAGTGCTGAGAAGCCAAAAAAAAAAAAAGAAAAAAAAAATTAATTAAACTACAATCCCTTTTCAGATGTTCCGAAAGCTGCATAATTCCTATACGGACATAATGTGTAACCCTTTTTATAACCCTGGGGACCGTATCCATTCCAGGTAAGTGGGTTGACCATACTGATCTTTGTCATCTTGCTGGAGCTTGCGGTGTACCTATGATATCATAGGCCCAAGAGCGTAACCCCTGGGGTTGACCAGTTCAGATGTGCACGCTCTAACTGCCTAAATGGAGAACAGCTGTGTTGTTCCTGGGCCATTACTGCATAACAGAAAACTCTGCTAAGTCTCATGAGAAGTTACATTAAACTCTCACTCCCACCTCAGAACTGGTGTTGGAAACATTGGCTCAAGAAAAGTACTTTCTTGGGGAGAAAAAGTTGCCCATTTCATGGGCAAATAGGAGGACAAACAGAGAAAAATAGAGCAGGTTAAACAGAGCGAACAACTGCGCTTGTCCAGGGTTTATCCTTGGGTAAGGACAGAGTTCTCCTGTGTAAGGGCCAGTGCCCCCCACCTCTCTTCTGGTATCTCACAGGGAATGTTAATAATGGTGAGAGTTTTGTGCTTACCTAGGGAAGAACAGCTTCTTTTACACTTTGCTGAGGCAGGTAAGCCAGGATAAGACCTGTCCTCACTTCAGCTTAATTAATTGTCATTATTTACTCAACAGAGCATGCTGTAGTTAGAGTGAAACCACCTATCCAGCCTGGGGAAAGCCAGCTTGTTAACCAGGAAGAGGCATTGTTAGCCCTTGGTTTTGTTACAGGAGATCTGCTGTGCAGAACCAGCTGCTTCCTTTAATATTCTGTGTTCATTTCCTTCTCCAGGGCTTTTGATAATATGGTGAACTCCATGATGATGCAGGTGTGCTGAGGCTCTGCCCCTTCTCATCCAAGCATTGAGAACATTCCCTGTGTACAGGAGTGTGCCTACAAAACAATGTATATATGGTTTTCATTCTGTGTAATATTTTAAATTTATTCTATGTAAAATAAACTCTACCCCTGCAAGGTCTACATGCATTTCTACGCCAGCAAACCTGAGCATAGCACAGAAGTAGCTGTTGAGCTTTATGCCTTCAGGTAACATGTGAGAGCCAGCTCTTCCTTCAGGAAGGTCAGCTGTGTCAGGTAGGAGGTTTGTTCCCTACAGAAATGTGTGCAGCTGTGCCTCTGCATCTCAGATGTTTCTGTAGGAATCAGGCTTTGTGTAAAAACAGCAGTCCCTGCTGTGCTTGTGATTAGAGCAAGCACAGCTGCACAAGAGACAGCTCAGAGATTATTATTAGGGTCAACCTAGATCTCAGTCAGCTGAGAGGCTGAGATAGTGACACTGTTCCTCAGAAGTACTGGTGCTTCAGAGCAGTTCCTCTGAAGCAGGAGCAGCACATCAGCAACATCAGCAATCAGAGTCCTTTTGCTCTTTGCCAGCCCCCTTCAGTGCTGCGCAGGACTCTTCATTCCGACAGGAACATCACAAGCAAGGCTTAATTCAAACATCCTTGGGCTCCTCATCCTGTTTTTCCTTAGCTGGGAGCACTCAGATCTGCATGTACTTACTCTGTTAGTTCTTGGAAAGAGAAAACTCTGCAAATCAGCCAAAGGCTCTGGGTTCCTCTACAGCCTCAGCCACTGTTTGTGTCCTTGGGAAAGCTCTGGCAGACAGCAGGTCTCAAGGCACCACCTTGAACCCGATCAAGCCCTGCACTGATCTTGCCTTCCTGGGGCAGATCTTTGGGTGACTGGCATTTGATCAGTATTTGCTGTTGTCACTTTGCACCTCATTCAGACAGGCCAGGCACACCTAACAGCATTTTCAGTCCAAGGAGCACAGGTAGCACAGCTGGAATAAATCCACACCAAGAGATTAAGACATCAGGATGGCACAACTGCCTGGCTCATCCCAAACTAATCTCTATTAGCATCTCCTCCCCCTGGAGCTCCCTGCTGTTCTAATTAAAGACTACCAAATCAGCAGCAGGTATTTATAGAGGGAAAAAAATACAAGCTAGACTAGGAAAGCATCCCAGCTTCTTAATCGCTTGCGCAGTACGCTCACACTACACCAGGCTGTGCAGCTGCAGCAAACTCAGCAGAGGTAACACGGGCAGGCGTAAGCACTGAGCAGCCACTCGGTGCTTTTCACACACCTTTGCTCGGAGTCTTTCCTGCCCCACAGGCAGCAGGCTGTGCTTCAGGCACCTAATCAGTTAAAAATACATAAAACATAGCTCAAAATACGAGAGGGGAAAAAAAAAAAAATAGCTACACAGCTCCAAAGGATACAAGCAGCCTGGAGAAAGCCAGGTCAGCATAGGGGGGCAGCTCACAGCAGCGCAGTCTCACTGCAGGTGAAGTTCACACAGCAGGATCATTTATTTTAAAAATAAGTGACATTTACAGTACCTTCTCAAACAGAACTTAAATACATTTAATCAACAACAACCTGTCAAATAATGGGAGATGAAAGTGGTTGAGCCTCTCCCACCATCTAAACAAGGCACAGCTGTACACTGCTATTCCAAAACATTTTCATATAAAAATCTTTACTCTTTTCACTCGCAGAGACAGGAGCTCAGGATTTCCTCTTCCACAAGAAAGTCCAAACCCCCCAAAAGCAGTTTTTGTTAAAAATCAAGTCTCAAGAATTTACAAAGCTACTAAATGGAAAGTTTAAAGCCCTAGAAAAAGCCACATATATAGTCTAAGCCTAAGGGTAGCTCGGATCAAGGCCAGCCTCGTCAGCACAGTCCACACTGGGCAAAGTGCAAAGATCAACACAACATGAAGAGTTAAGGCCTCAAGCTTTTAAAAAAAAAAATCCTGAGATCTTAAGGAAAAAAAAAATCCTGGAATTTTTAGCCTGGCAATGCCCCCTGAGCTGTGAAAAGCTGCTTTAGGAGTCAGTCGCATCTGTGTTAGAGGAACCCCAACCAAGGATCCCGAAAGATTAGCGTGAGAATTACATAATAAAACAGATTTCAAGGCAGAACTTCACACAGTGACGCTGCCTGCTGGTGTTCGCTGCCTGCCTCTTTTAACATGAGGTTTTTCCTTTAAAAACGAGTGGTTTTGGAGCTCACAGACATTTTTTTAGCAGGAAGGGGAAGTGCCAGGCAGCTCCTGTGCTGTGCTTTGGTCCTGACCCTCTAGTTCATCTGGGCTCATGCCATCCCCAAACGGGGATGTCAAACAGGAATGGGGACGGGAGTAGAGAGGAAGATCAGATCAAATTTGCAACAGCGGAGATGGTTTTGTAATACTGCTATGGCCAGAAATAAAGTTAAATGACGAGTTGGTAGCACCCTTTGATTCCTGTAGCTTTGGAATAAAAGCAGGAGGGGGGGGAAGGAGGGGTTGTTGACCTCTGAAATAAAAAGGGGAAGGGTTTTTTTTAACACCCAGGTCTTGTTTAACCACCACGGAGATCCAGAGGCTTCCTGAGAAACAGCAAGGGATGCCTTTTCCCACCCCTGGTTGTTAGATGTACAACAGCAGCAGCGAGCTGAAAACCAGACCCAGACCCCATCGTTAGGTTCCATCCTCTTCCCAAGAGCAAGGGCAGAAATCCACAAGGCTGATGGAGTTATGGACAGGTCCTGAGCTGCAACCCAAGATCTCCACTGACGTGGAGAAGAAAACAGTCTTCGGAAAGGTCTTTCGGATCTTCTTACGGGCAAGAGAAAGCAACACCCAGCTCCTGTAGAAACAGCCAGAGCTGGGGGTGCTTCACAGGCAGAGCAGGACACAGTGGGGTGGAGGGCATCTGGACGGCTAAAAGCCAAAGCAGGTTTACACCAAACCCTCCAGTACAGCCCTTTTCTATGGGATGAGGATGAGACTTGATGGTCTGGGAAAGCTCTTCCCTTCCCAGGACAGGGTGTTCTCCGCAGTGAGGGTGTTCTCCGTGAAAACGCAATCCCCTAAGCAAAGCTGAGGTGAGCCCCTCCTGGGACACTGGCAGGGATCCGGCCGGTGTTGGTGGAGCAGATCCACTCTTCCCTCCTGCAGCCCAGCACTCCGGCTGCCTCACCAGTAATCCTCACGGCCAGGCAGATGGCATTTTAAAATTAATCTTTTTTTGACTTGGGTAGGCATATTTTTAAATCTCTCCAATCCCATCTCCTCATTTCCATCCCATCGGCATCACCAGGCAGTCCAGTCCTTTCTAGTATGGAAAATACCAAGGCAGCAGCCTTGCCCGACCCCTAAAAAAAAGAACAAAACCAGCATCCTAAAGCATGGGGGCATTGCTCAGCTGAGATGCCAAAAAGCACAGCTACCTGCTCCTCCACCCCTCCAAGAGCTGGGATTCACCCTTCTGCCCCAGCTAACCCAGACTGAACCCCCAAAAAACAGGGGAGCCCTGAAGCCAGGCACAGCCCTGCGACCAGTCAGGCTGGGAGTGCAATGCCCATCTCCCCACTCCCCGATCCCCAGCAAGTTTCCAGGTGTTTCTTCCATCCCCAAATCTCCTCTCCACTTCCTCCCAAGGCATGAAAGGGGACAGGGCAGCACTGAAGTTAACCCGCAGCGAGCTCCCGGGCGCACGAGCAGCAGGAGGTGTTCTGGAGAACAGCTCCAGGTCTGTGCCAGTGATGCGAGGGATGCCGGGAGAGCCACGGGGATGGATCTGTTGTGCCATCACTGGCTGCTCCCTTCAGTCCTTCCCCACCTCAGAGTCCCCCTCAAAGTGCCCATGTCCCAGCTGGACCAGCCAGCAGGCTTCTGCTGACCCCCACAGACACCAGGGCGATGCTAACAGCATGCAACAGGCGGGAGACATTTCTATCCCAGGACTCCAGGAGGATACTCCTGTCCTTCTCCATCCTCCCATCCACACCAGCGTGGGAGGTGCAAAGCTGAGAGGCGGAGCACCAGGGACACCCCTGCTCCACAGGGATCTTAACCCAAACACACAAGGAACCCCCCCACCCAGCCGCTCACCTGTACGTCCTCCCTCGCACCCTCGGGTGCTGTCCTCCATAGTAGCCTCCTCGCTGGGCCAGCCCTCCCCGGGCTTGGAATCGGCCCCGGTAGCCCCCACGGTCAGTGGTGCTGATGCCTGGCATGTTGGTCCTCTTGGGCAGCACCTGGAAGGCAGGGGGTGGCTCAGCCGCTGCTGCCAGCACTGGGGTTCAGGAGAGCCCCGTGCACAGGGGGCTGGGAGGGAGGGATGCACTCACCAACCCTGGGGTCTCATCCTGCTCTTACCTTAATGACACGGCCTCTGAACACGCTCTCGTCCAGCTCCACTGCAGCCTTCACAGAGCTCTTCTCTTCAAACTCGATGTAGGCGTACCTACAAGGGGACGGGGTGAGCAGAGCCCCAGGCACACCCCGCCGCTCCCAAAGGCTGGGGGAGCCCAGGGGAGCACCCTCGGCACGCCAGCCCACCGCGCTGACCCTTTGGGATGTCCTGAGAACTTGTCGCACAGGATGGTCACTCGGTTGATTTGCCCGCAGCTGTTGAAGTGAGACTCCAGCTCTTCCGCCGTGCCCCCATAGTCCACCTGCAATGACAGTGCCACCAGCCAGCCCCCCGGCTCGTGGGTCAGCATTTGCACACCATCGTGGGAGGCAAATGGCCCAGCTGACCCCAGTCAGAGCTTGCCACCATGGCCATGTCATCTCCTGAGGTTCAGGAGTCCCTTCCAGCTGAATGCTCCAGCTTGGAAACCCAAATCCGAAAGACAGCTCCTTGCCTTTGAGGGACCAAGCAATGCTGCACAACCCACAGCTTCCAGCGGGGTATTTTGGGCAGCTGACACTTGCAACAGATTATCTACAAGTGACTGAGGATCACTGGCAGATGCTGAGCCACATTCCCAGTCTGGGCTGGGCAGAGGAGAAGCATTCGGGATGAGACCAGCCAGCCTTTGGTGGGGGGCGGATGGGTCCCTGCATGGGGGATCTCAGACATACGCCCAGCTGGGCAAGGAGCAGCGAGGTGGGCTCTGCTCCAGGGCCTCCCACTTACATTGCCCACGTAGATGGATCGCTGGTCAACCTCCATCTTCTCCTCAGTTGTCTTTGGAAAGAGACCTGCAGAGATGAGGAATGCTTTGTCATGCTGGACAGAGTCACAGGAGCCCTCTGGCAGAGGGATGTCTGTCCAGAGGGTTGTCTGTCCGTGCAGGTCTGCTCCCAGCACAGCCACCACTGTGCCACCACACTGCAAAGCTCCCGGGTTACATCTGGGCATCCCCAAATCCCCACACTGCTGCTGCCTCCCCTCCTCCACCCCTTTGCCCCCTCTCTCCACAAAAAAGAAACCCACCCCACAGGGTGACTGCTCTACTGGGGCTGTTGGTGCTAAACTCAATTGCTTAATTGAATTAAATTTAATTATATTAATTTGCTGCACCTTGGCCTGCAAAGATAGGAGGTAAGAGGTACCAAGCCATCCCCAGGACCCCATCCTTCATCCACCTTACATATCCAGCCCCAGGCTGCCAGGAGAGGCAGAGCCACACGCTCCGGCTCCGATCCCCACCCTGTGCCCCAGAAGTGCCCCTGGTGGGGGGGACAGCAGCACCCAGGGACAGCCCGTACCTGCCTCCAAGCTCACGATGAGGCGGCGCTCAGCTTCCAGCTGCAACTCCTTCAACCTCTCATCCTCCTTCTCCATCTCCCGCACTCTGGCTTTGATGGCCTCCAGCTCCTGAAACCCAAACCCAGACTTGCACGAGCAGCACTGGGAGCAGGGGGCACCCCCCACCCCAGACACCTCCACCAGCAGTCCCCTCCCAGCCTGGGCACCAGGGTGGGCTGGCTGCTGGGGACAACAGCCTGTCCCACAAAAGGGAAGTTCAGCTCCAAGCTCCACTGGGGAGAAAGAGCAAGGAAACGTTTCCTTCCCCGTGCTTGCCTGCCAAGCAGCGTCTGCTGCAGCAGAGAGGCCCCAGCAGCACCAGAGCTGCCGGTGGGAACTGGAGGGTTAAGCTGGTGACAAACAGGAGCCATTTACTCTTGCCCAGCCAGGCGGACATCTCAGCAGTGAAAGCTAAGCAGCAGGAGAGTGACAATTCAATTTCCAGCTTCTCAGCTCAGGGATTTTAACACCAGAGGCCCAAGATTATTCTTATTCTTAATATTTTTTGGAAGCACTTGAAAGAGAGGTGTAGAAAGTTCCCCCTTTCCTTAGAGAAACAGGGAAAACTGATTCCACACTCAGCCAAGGACTCACTGGGTCCGGCACAGCCAGCTCCTCCGCACTGTCCCCCTCCAGGTGGCTCAGGCCCGAGTCGTCATCTGCAGCCTTCTGCAGAGCCGCCATCTCTGTCGCGTCCCAGGACGTCTTCACTGCTGCCAGCGACGGCGGGTCCTGCCACCAGATATCTGAAGTGTCCAGGAAGAGAGGACTGGGCAGGAACAGGGGCAAAAAGCCATTTAACAAACAAACAGCCATTTAATGTAGAACCTAAAGCAGAACGCCAGCCAGGCAAAGCACCTGACTGCTTCCAGCAGAAGGGTGAACAGGCACCACCAAAGCAGTTTGCTCCCGGTGCTGCAGGGAGGCAGGCTCGCAGCAAGACCCCAGAACTGCAGGAGTGACAGCTACTGAAAGGCCTCTGCTTCGTACCGAGCCACTTCCCAACTCAGGGGGCTGCAGAGGGGACCTGGAAGCAGCTTCCCTCTGGTTAAAAAAAAGAAAACAAACAGGCAGAAGCACCACAGCCTGCTGGGAGGGAAGGGGGAGAGGAGGCAGGGCCTGCCCCAGCGCCGGAGCTCCTGGGCTGCACAGGGGGAGCAGCAGGGAGCCCTGCCCCACCCGAGCAAAGGCAAACCTGCACCCTTCCAGCCCCAGGCCCGAGCCCACAGCGGGGCAAGCTCTCCCACCCCTGGGTGCAAAGCTGACCCCGCTCCAGCCCAGGGAGGCCCAGTGCCTGCCACCAAG